TGTTTAAAATAATAATTCACTGTGCTCACCAATTTATCACAAATTTGTTATTTCACCTGGTTATATCACTATTTTGCACTGGTTAGCAGATAGCACCATGTTTATAAGCTTGTTTATAGCGTGCATAATTAATTAATTATGCATAGTTAATAACATGATAATCAACAGGTAGTTATTGACTACTGGGCGGAAGTATGGCGTAATGGCAAGGAGCAGGGCTTGTAGCTCAAAATCAGAAGTTTGATTCACTGGTGAGATACTGCTATTGTACTCTTAGGCAAGGTACTCAATACAAATTCTCTTAGTAAATATCCTGAACATTACATGTAATAAATTTGGAAAAACTTTGAGTTTATATAAGTCCCTTTGCTTAAGCAGACATATAATAACATGATGTCATGAACATACTGTAAGAACTCCATAAATAGTACACCTGTGTTGTTTTCTGGTAAATGAATGATCATGTAGCACCAATAACGCTCAGTGTGAGGGCAGACCAAGAGCCAGTGATATGAGCGGGGTTTTGCAATCTTTCTCCAGCGGCAAGGTATTCTGAGAATGTGAGAAGGTAAGAGTGAAATTGTAGTGGAGTGAGGCACCAGGGTCCAGCACTCAGCCGGAACATCAGAGACTCGGCTCTGAATGAACTGAAGTGACCCTCACTGCAGTTCCAAAAGAGGAGCCCAACATTGATCAGCCTCTGTATAGTCATCTGAGCCACAAGACAGAACATTCACCCCCCCCACAATCCCACCCCCCAATGTGTGCATGTGTGCCCGTTTCAACAAAAACAGTAGGAGTGTTTAATCTCCACAGCTTCACAACAGAGGGACCCGGTCACCTCGGTTCAAACCCGACAATTTCTTATTCAACTGCTCAATTTCCTGGAGTGAAAATAAGAAAGAAAAAAATCTAAAGAAAAAAAAGAATTACAGTTAAGGAATGCGTAATATATCAGCAGGAAAATTTCAAAGAGAGTGAGAGAAGGATAGTGCAGTCTTAAGAGCAAATGCAACCAGCTCTTGCATTTGCGAAGGGCTGTCTCTCTGTCTCTCTCATCCCAGTGGGGGAGCAGCTCTGTTCACAGCTGCCGACCGGCGTAAACACAGCCTTCAAAACCAACCCTCAAAGCCCTGGACCTCTTTCCACCCGCGCTCCTTTGAATTGGTCACCCGAAATGTAAGAGTCAGACTCAGGCATGAATATGCAATGTCGGGGAACGTGTATTTTCTGTGATTAATGCATATCCCATAATTCCATAGGACTGACCACTGTAGAATAAAGGTGTTTTGGGCCAGTTTAGATACAAAGAGGTGTTGTATCTTAAATATGGTAAGAAAACCCATTTTCATTGACTAATAGGTACAAAGACAAAGGACAAACCACTCTTCTCAATATAGTGGAATTTTCCGGAAATTTGGCTTTTCTCTGCAATGGAATGGTTTCAGGTTTTTTACTCTCCCCCAGAGGGTATTGAATTTGGCTCAGAATGTCTCTATGTCTATATGCCCGCCTGCGCGTCTGCCTGCATTAGAGGCACCAAAGGAGATGCAGTTACAACATCTCACCACTAGATGTCGAGAGACCAGAACGAAGGGGGGGGGGGGTTCTGATGGCCCGCAATCTTCAATGGCTCCTGCTTTAATTCTTCGCGGAACAAATGGCAACCTGAATGTAATTGCATGCGATATCGATATTGCGGTGAGCTCACTTAAGGGGCTTTGAGAGTAACACACAAAGCGCTCCAACGCAAACAGCCGGTGACACATGACCAGGGTTCCGCGTGCTTCATTCTCTGGCCGCTGGCGCTGTGGTTTCAGCCCCTGCTTCCTGTCAGAGCAGAAGCAGGGGCTGCTGTTGTTGGAATCGTAACGGGGCTCTCCATCAAACTCTGCTCCCAGCCTTTTCCCTCATGGGATTGGAACAGCGGGAGAAAATGAAGGGGGGGGGGGGAGAAAAAGGATCCTTTATCACACATCAAAAGCCGCGTGCTCCTGGAATCTTTGAAATCGATTACGAGCGCGCAATCACTTTAGGCTGACAAGCACGCTTTCATTTTTCCGAAAGGATTTGATTTCGCCGGCAGCGGCGGCGGCGAAGGCCGGTTCCATACCGTTCTCGGTTTCTCTCTCTCTCTCTCATCCACAACCCAATGCGTTTATGGTTTTCTGGCCCACGGTCCTGAAAAATTCTGCTTTGTCCATGATAGATGACTGCACATTTCTACCAGAAAGCAGGCCACTGGGTCTTTCACTGGGAAATGAGTCACAGGAAAACGAACGCTGCACAGACTGCCAGTGAAACTGAATATGCCATATTGCTGTTATGGAAGAGGAGGAGGAGAAAAACAAAGGACTCTGACAGGGAAGCCAAACACTGCAATCTGTTCCGCTAGAACAGACTGAGACAATTAAAGGGGGAGAAATTATACTTTTTTCTCTCTCCCCATCACTCTCTCTCTCTTTCTTTCTCTCTTTCCCTGTTGTTCTCTGTGTTTGGTCCATAGTGTTGGTCCCATGCGAGAAGCGAGTGAAAGGAAACACAAACGTTTCCCTCAGAATCATTACACACTCCTCTCCCTGTTGCCATTTACTGCCAGGAACCAATCGTTCGCGGCAGAACGGAGCGTGTCTTCGACCACAGCCGGACATGCCGGCGGAGACGATCCAGGGGTCACGAGGGGTCACAAATCTCTCTGTAACGCCCGTTTAATGTCTGCGTGGAATCACAGTTCAGTGGAGCTCCGTCATCAGAATACACAGAGAGAAGTACAAGCCAAATGGTAGACAAGCATACCTGGCCAACCCATTGTGAGCACCATATCCACTTCACCAATTACCGGACCCTGCCCTGAGTGACCCTGCACCGAACCACTCCTTACAGCAAAATTACGCGGTCCGACTTGCAGACTCCCCTTGCCAACATCGCTCTTACATGCTGGAGGCTGTTCACCTCGGAGACCCTCTGCGGGCGTGTGCACAGCATGAGATTTACACCAATTATCTAGCGTGGAGGTTTATTTTCGGGGGCTTGCACAGTTGTCAGTATGGGGGTTTGGGGGTGAGTGAAGGGGGTTAGGTACTGAACAGGCGAGATATGTACGTTGGATTTTATGGTAGTAACAATATGCCTGGCCTTGAAACAGCTGCTCTGAGGGGTGTGTTTCATTTGCCATTCCACTGTTTTCTGCATGCCCTTCAGAACCTCTGTGGATGTTGAGCATGTTTCAGGAAGTGAGAGATCATACAAGTGACTCTCCGAGGCAGGCTTAAGGAGATGGTGAGTGGAAGGGTAACCAATGCAACCCCTCCCCCCCTTCTCCCATCAATACGTAAGGCAGAAAAATGATGCATTAAAATGGTCCCTTCATTAAAATTCATCACACAAACAAATGGCCAGGCCCAGTGATTTGTTTCCTGCTTGTAATTAGGACTGCAGACATGAGGAGTCTATTTGTTTACCCTGACAATATATCTCATTATTTCTTAAAAACAGTCCTCCTGAGGATTTCCTGTTTTTTTCCCCTCTCTCTCTCTCTCTTGATTTCAGGCTGAAAGGTCATTTGTGGCTCTGATGGAGGCTTCACTGATGTTCTTTATTCTGCTGGCAATGATGCTCAGCTACGATCCCAAAAATCAATCCCCACCCACACACACCAGCGCCCCCCCCCAAATCTTCATCAGGGGCCATCGACATGGCAAGGACGCTGGTGAACGACGCGGCGGAGAAACGAAAGACGAAGGAACGACGGAGCCCCGGGGTTAAAATGAGCGAGGTTAAAATGCTCCGTCCTTCACAGCGGCTCCGGCATGCCCTCCGTCGCGTCAGCAATTTTAAAAAATGCCCCCCCGCCCCATACCACCAAACATTCTGAGCACACGCTCTTTAAAAATCATTTATTCTGAAACGCATTTACCTGCATGGCAGTAAACAATTCTGGACAGCAGTGCCAGCGTTGCTCAGTCACCTTCCTAAAGGGTAAAGCTATACCGCGTAGAACGTCATTGTATTGGGGGCATGTTTACTGCCAGGGCTCTGTCTCCAATATGTGCACTAAAGCCCATATTGCTCAAATTACAACCAAATAAAGAAAAATTGCAAGCCATTTGAACATGAATTGAGAGAATAAAGAGAATGCAAAGGACACCTTCACAAAAGAAATTGAAAGTACACGTAGTGTAAGTGTATGGAGATATGTCTGTAGTGATGCCAATGTCAGTTGTTGCACAAGTCCAGCCAGTGGCAAACCGTACAACGTATCATCACCTGGAGCCATACTTACAGGTGAACACACATCCCTGTCAATAAAAATCAGCTTTTGTGTACAGTACACACAAACCTCTGAGCACACCCCAAGAGAGACTGGGACGAAGGTGGTGGCGACACTTATGTCCTTTGGGTGCTGTAGTCTTGTTTCGCGTCCCACTGGGCGAAGCCGGATTGGATTAAAGGGAGAAAGTTAAAGGGGGTGGAGGGTGCCCACCTCCAGCACGCAGGTGCCCCCCCTGCCCGCTGTCAGCCCCCTCTGAAAGGCGCACAAACACCCCCCACGGGTTTCATCAACAAACCTGTGACACCTCCAACTCCTCCACATCTCAGTCACCATGTCCAATATGTCACAGATTGCCTTCCCCTCAGCCAGCTCTGAAGACACACACTGTGATTTAGCACTCATAAAAGTGGCGATTCACCTGGGAGTCTTGCGTGAGTTAACCCTGTAACGGAAAACCCACCTGCAAGGGGAATTTTACAAACCCCCCCCCAACCCAGAAGTGAGTTTGTATAGAAGGCAAAGAGCCAGCAAAAGACAGAGCAAAACGGAAGACATGGTTCTAGCAGTGCTAATGGACAATTACATTTACATTACATTATTGTCATTTGGCAAAGACTCTCATCCAGATTGACAGAGGTTGTAATTCTTACATGTTATCCATTTATACAGCTGGATGTTTACTGAGGTAATTCTTGGTTAAGTTTCTTGCTCAAGGGTACAACAGCAGTGCCCCAGTGGGGAATCGAACCCGCAACCTTTGGGTTATGTGCTCTGCTCTTTACCACTTTAGTTCACTGAAGCCCAATTACCATGGACTCCACTGGTCACATTATACCATAGCTATCATATGTACTACTTGGGCAGCAAAAAAGACAGTGTTAGAACTCTTAAGGAGGACTCTTAAAGAGTCTTAAAGCATTGAGGAGACTCGTAAAGAGATGTTCTGACTGTAGTCACTGAATCCAAGTCATTCTGGGTAAACAGCTGGTCATCGCCACCTGCAATCGCCTCTTGGCCACAAAAGCCCTGCGGTTGACTTAGGAAATGAGTTCAGAGGTTAAAAAGCACATTTTCAAGATGGCCCCTTGTTGTCTGCCGGGTCTCTTCCTGCTTCTTTTAATTATAATGTAAATCACTAGTGGGGGTCAATCAATGTGGCCCACAGTTACAGGCCTTCAGGCTCTAGTGTGCAACCTTGAAGCAGCACCCAGTAATAACCAAACAAGCAACCAAGTCCTCTAATGGCCCAGGGACAGGAAGTGATTATCGAACAGCTGTGGAGGGGCAATCACTCCTCAGGCGTGACATTAGACCCACTTAAAGGTCACGCGTGGATGTATGTCAGAAAAGCTGACCATAGCTCACGTGCCCAAACCATCATTTGGCATGTCAGTGAAACCAAAGCTTGAATTAATTATTCATTTTCTGTAGAATTCAATAAGCATTCGGAAAATAAACCCTGTGGAAACTGTTTCCTTGGGCGTACTAAGCACATGCTGGCTATACTACGGCGTCTGTATCTGTGAATTTGAATTCAGAAGTCGGTTTAGTGGTTGGTGAAATTTAATGTATTGAAACTGAAAAAAACAAATACTTTCTTAAATAAATCACTCAGAGTTGTGCAGCACAGATGTGATATTATATACCCCCCACCAGTCAATGACCGTATTAACCCTTTCGTACGTGACTTATTTTATGCCATGTAGAGCGCGGTTTACGTTACATGGTTCGTTATGTTTTCATTAGCATTGTTAAGCTTCTCATAGTTTTCACCCCACATTTGCTATACTTTCTAACGTTAAATCACTGTTTCCTCAAAGCTATTGTTAGCTAGAAGTTTTCGTGTACACACGAAAGAGTTAATACAGTGAAAGGGAGACCAAATATACTGTTAAGATGTCTGTGTTAGTGCACCCAATCCACACCTGCCCATTTCCAAGGAAACACAGGAACACTAATGCGGATGAAGAGCACCTCTTGAAATGCAGAGCACATCATCTTTGGGGAAAAAACACTCCCAAACAGCTCACGCTGAAGGTAGGTTATGACCTGGAGAGGACTCAGATCCAGGATACTGATTGCCTGTTGGAACACTTGGCCCGAGAAAATAAAGGGTATGAAATTCATTTGATCTGCACATCGCTGATCAAATTAGTACATTCTTCAAGGCAATGTACCTGACCACAAAGAAGAACATTAGCACACATATGCACAAATATTACTGAAACAATATCAGGATATATTACAATCAGGACCATATTACGACCATGGACGCAGCTTGAAAAAATTAGTATTATAATATAAAATATTACTAGTATAAGACGGCATGTGTTTTTTGGCAGAATGGGCTACATACAAGGAACGGTATCCATGTGCGCTGTGGAGAATTTTCCACCTAGATTATCTGAGATTTATACGGCAGCACATCTTGTTTAGGTTCTACTCTTATTATTTTCTTCAGTTGTTCCGACCGCACTGAGATGGAATGCCACACTGTAGATGGAAAGTATGCTGAAGCAGATCCTCAGGGCATATGTTAATCTCTTTCCTCCCATTGGTGCCTCCCCTGCGTAAAACACTGCGCTGCACTGAGATGAACTCGCAGAACTGCACAGCAAGCAAGGGGAGGATGACCAGGACATCCGTTCCTTTCTTTAAAAAAGAAAAAACAGCCAGCAAGAGGAAGGTGACCAGGGGATCCATCTTTTTTTCTTAAAAAACAGCCACCAAGGGAAGGCTGAAGAGGGCATCCATTTTTTCTTAAAAAACAGCTAGCAAGGGGAGGCTGACCAGAACATACATTTAAAAAATAGCCAGTAAGAAGAGGCTGGTCAGAAAATACATTTTTTTGTAAAGAGTAGCCAGCAAGGAGAGGAATGACCATGGCATACATTCCTTTCTTAAAAAAACAGCCAGCATGAAGAAACTGACCAGAACATACTTTTTCTTTAAAAAAAAAACATAGCCAGCAAGATGATGTTGACCAGAACATCCATTTTTTCTTAAAGAACAGCCAGTGAATGGAGGCTGACCAAAGCATACATTCCTCTCTTAAAAAAATAGCAAGCAAGAGGAGGCTGACAACCCAACAATGACATACAGTGCCTGCATGTCCCACCGTCTGGTTACTGGTTACATTTTCTTAAAAACAAAAGACCACTGACTGTTGAGTGGTAGCAACATCAGCAGGCCTGGCGTGAAGTCACACGTCTGAGAGGCGTGTTCATCTCAGCTCTTTCTCCTCATCACTCCTTGTTAACGACATAACGCCTCCGAATCTGCTCCCACAACACCTCCATCAGTGGGTCATTACGAGGGGGCTGTCTCTCAGGCTCCCCCCATCTGCCAATCAGAAGGCAGCGCTGGGCAGCCCTCCAGCTCAGCGAGCAGAGCATCATGGGTAGTGTGCTGGCAGTTGTAAGGTGGTGAAGTCAACAGCACTGGTGAATACCAATAAGGCTACCGGTGCGGCGTGCATAATTATCGCAGGGACTGGAAACGAAAGTGTCTGCCGTGACACTTCCAAGTGCGATATTGCAGTTTCCGCACACCCGTTTGGATGGCTGTGTGTGGTTGGTGAGAATTGTGTTCCCCGAACCTCCAAGACAGAAACTTGTCAGCCCTGACGGTGACACGCCGCAGAGACAAAGACACACAGCTGGGCTGGGGTTTTTTCAAAACCCTGCACTCTTGGAAGCACGTCAAAGTGGCTGTTTTATTTAAACAACAACTCATCTGCCTTCCCTGGTTTCCTTAAGTCTCTGATTTGTTCTGTGTCTGTCTGAACAGTGGAAGAGTGGCAGGAAAAGCATTGTCTCACTTCAGAATATTCCATTTCTCTTATTGCTTCAGCTCCCAAGGGCAGGATCACTGCATTCAGTGACTGATAATGAGTTACTGTACCAAACACAGGCAGAATCTATAGTAGGTACAGAACAAAGGAAGGCCTTTCAAACTTTAATAAGAACCAACTAAAATTGTAAAACAGGACAAGTTAAGCTGCAAAATTAGAGCCTCACAAAACACTCTCAACACAAGAAAACTCTCACCTTTTTTAATCTTACAGTTACCCCCCCATTACAAAGCAGAAATCCAGAATCCTTGTATTAGATTATTTTGGTGGTCTTGATGTGATCAATGTCACTTCCTTCTCATAATAAATGCATTATAATTAGGCAGTTAGGCATACGGCACTACCCCCCAAAGTGGTCAAAAATGAATGGTTTAGAAAAAGAAAGGGTGTGCATTCCTCATACTCAAGACATCCCATAGGGATTCTGGGTTTAATAATCTTTGAAGTAATAATCTTACTCTTATTACACATTCACATCATTCTGTTCAGTGCAAAAGGCTCCTATTTAATGCTATATGAAAACAGTAATATTCCAAAACAAGAGTGCATCTGACTCCAGAAGAACTAAAGGCTTACACTGAATGCTTCAATGTCCTTATTGTTAATGTATACAGCGTATACCTTTAATTATTAAGCCTTCGTTGGACTGCTACTGCGAAGCCCCATGGAGAAAATCATAAATATGCAGCAGGCACTTTAATGGAGGACCATAAAGACGCTGTTTAAACACTGCTGCAGGGTTACAGATGGAAGTTGAAAAATTCTCTCCAGTCTGTAATGGCAGGGTGTTAATTGATGCTATGATGCCACACTGAGAACACTGCCAGCACTGTGTTTAGGATTAATGCACTTCTATTTCAAGTGACAAACTGTGTGTTTGTACAGTGGCAGGGGACCAAGCCGATGCCTATCATGGGTTTTTTGAGAGTTTCCACTCGCGACTTTTGAACACTTTTGTGGCTCGGTCTGGCTCCTGCTTTTAGTCTAATGGCAGTAACGACAACATCAATAGTGGTAGTCATAATAATAATAATGAATGTTAGCACTACAGTCCCGCCCTTTCATCCTTGTGGACAGGGGTAGGTCATCACGGTCTTGCTGGGCACGGGGTGGAGCGGTGTCTCACGTTGATGACAGGTCAGCGGGCAGGAGTGGTGTCGCATGTTGATGATGCGTCAGCAGGCAGCCCGGGAGGACTGGAATCTGCTTGGCATATGGGGCTCCCCTGGTGCAGCTATGCCCCCTCCCAGTGAACAGGTGTACCGGCCACGCGCTGGAAGGGGACAGCTTCAATAATCTGTCGGGCACCAACTGGCTGAGCCCGTCGGCAGCTTGCGGGGGCCCCCTTTCACGGTGTGCCAGGAAGACGCCTCGCTGTCCGCCAAGGCGCATGGGCTCCTAACCGCTGTGCCAAGAGAGGGAGGAGAAAAGAGAGCAGTCCTCAAAGAAACTCCGCACACGGCGCAAGAGAAATGCTGGAGCAGAGGGGTGAGAGGGTGGGGGATGTCGAGGAGACAGAGATGGGTGGGGGAGGGGTCAAGGAGACAGAAATCGGGTCAGGGACGGGTCAAGGAGACAGGAAATTGGTCAGAGAGGGGAAAATGAGACAGAAGTGGTATCCTGGAGGGGTCAAAGAGACACAGATAGGGTCAGGGAGGGATCTAGGGCACAGATGGGGGGATGTCAGCTCAGGAGTACGGAGACAGATATGGAGTTGAGGAGAGGCCAAGAAAACAGGATCTGCGTGAGGAGACAATGAGGCAGATTTAGGATGGCAGGGGGCCAAGGAGACACAAATGGAGTGGGGGATAAAACCAAAAAATGGGTGTGGTTAGAAATGGGTTGAGTGAGGAGTATAAGGAGACAGCAGTGGGCCTAACAGACAACCCCATACATTCAGAAAAAAGTCCAAGCACCCTGCCTCAGTCTACAATTTCTCACTGATGAA